CCCCCCCCTTCCCCAACTAATCACTGAGTCAGTTAGAAAAAAGCTAAAGGCCCAAAACCTAAACCTTTGGCCACATGATACACCGAGTTCTGTATCTTTTATCTTCTTCAATCCAGAGGAGGAGGGTCCTTCTTCAGGTGTCCATGTCCATGATGCTGTCTGGGTGACATGGACACTTCCTATTAAATGTCCAGCAGCAGGATCCTCTCAATCTCAAGAAGGCTGCATGGCATGGTGATGTCATGAAGAGGGGACCGATTGGTGCAGGAACAGACTGCAGCCTCCACACCTAGAAGAGGTCACCAGAGGGAAACAGATGGCAGATCCAGGTAAGGAAACAATGCTGCCAGAGTTTTTTTTTAAATGGAGAATGATTGGGATGGAAAGATGGTTGGTGTGGGTTAAGTGTGAATTGTAAATGCTTAAGGATGGGCTTTAGCATTCTCAAGGAAGCACTCACTGCTCTCCTCTAGACCTTCTTGATTGCTTCCATCTCTTTCCCAAACTTCTCAGCACTGTAACTCCCCCCTCAGCTTCTCATTTACAACGTCTTGTAATATAAATAGGAAAGTATATTTTTGAGAGCTGTGTATTGCATTTGTATGTTGCCACATCTAATTGGAAGATTCTGCCATGAACCTGCCTTAAATAAGAGACGGATGTCTCCTTTGTTCATACATTCTACAGTACAGATGCAATGATTAAAGCTGATCAGACTACATGATAAGCACTAGGAGTCCTTAGACAGCCTTGAAGTACATTCATCTGCACCAACACACATTTTTGAACACATCACTGGGAATAATGTTATCGTAGTTGAGCACTAACATGCTCCAGATAAAAGTTAAGCATAGAAATTATTATGTTACCTGTCCATCATCAGCCACAAATGAAAGGTGTCTTCAGCTGATCAAATAAGCCACATTCAGGCAAAGATATGACAGCTGCACACCAGCCAAACAAAAACTAAGTGCATAAGCTGGAGGCTGCACATCCCCAGCCATAGTATGTACATTGAGAGCAATCATCACACTGCGCCTCTTTACACCTGACTGAAGCTTCCTTATCAGCTGCACACAGCATTGGATTGGCCAACCACACAAAAGCAGGAGCTTGCTTTGATCAACATGGAAGCCCAACTTCAGACCAAACTTTCTTTTTAATTCAAGAGAGTGGGATCAGCATTAAAACCTCAGTCTTTTTATTATCTATATTTATTTTTGCTGGTTTTTTTTATTGCTGTGTCCCCCCTCATTTTCTGTTCTGACAACAGTGGTTCAGAGCGACAGGAAGTGATGTCATATCTCTCGGGGACAGAGACAGCAACAAATACATTTTTTTTTTTTTGTGAGGGACGCAGACTTGGACCTCTGTCAGGTTCCTAATGTCAGTGTCACAGGAATAAAAAGTGAGAGGAAACCTGCACACTGAAGCCACTCAAAGTAATAAAAACCTTCTAACACTCCTATGCTCTATTCAAACAAGTAAAAATGTGGCTGGATTTGAAAATCAAGGATATTGATCACAAAAAAAATTCAGATTAATTAGAAGTTCAAAAAAAGATGCTGCATAGGACTGATTTATACATGTTCCACCCAGCGTATAGCTGGACAGATGCCATTGGCATGGCACTTGCACCCCTAGATGGCACTGAGGAGCACAGTTTTTAAGAGCCATCTAGTGCCATGACAACGGCATCCGCCCAGTGTACATTTATAAATCAGCCCCTATGTGTTTATGTCTGTCCCAAAATACTGTCATTTTGGGGGGGTTTTAAACAAAATAGTATAAAGGCATTAAAATTCATGACTTCAAAATGTTTCATAACTGCTTTAAAGACTCACTCCATCCTGAAGTTGTACTTCAGTTATATGTCCAATCGCCATCGGTGTCTGGCATACTATCTCTAAGGGACTTACTGCTCGTTTTTGTCTAGCTTTTTAAAAAAAAGTTATACTCACCAAATGCTCTGAGCTGGCTTGTTCTTAGACCGGTCCTTCTGCCCTCTCTCCCCCAACTCTGCAGTGGTTCAAGGTCCCATATGCACTGTACAGACGTGAGAACGCTGAAGAAGATTCCAATGCTGCAGTAGAGGAGGAGACAGGTTGGAGGGAGCACTGTGACAGCTGGTTAACTTGGAGCTTCGGATGAGCGTAACTTTGTTATTTTACCACCCAGACAGAAATGAGCACTTAACCCTTGCAGTGCTGGGGTAGCCCAACTGCAAAGGTTAAGAAAAAGTTTTCCTGGAGTTTTTCTTTAAGATGCGCTGTTGTCACTGGAATAGGAGGTGAATGCAAATCTCTCACTGGGGCACCAGTTTTGGTGACAAAAAGAAGTCTTTGCTGGAGTTCCACCTTATAATGTTTCTGCTATCATCGATTCGTATTGATTACAGTAAATATTGTATCATGACATGGATATGAAATGCTATAATATCTGTGTTAATTATGTGAAAGGATATTTTTAGATCAATGTTGTTTACACATCGCGAAATGAGATAAAAGTAGAGGAGAAACAAAGGGTCTCTTCTCCACAGTCTGATCTGTTTGTACTATCAATCATATAATCAATTCAGTGCAAGCAGTCTGTCCTTAGCAACGTGCTTTATCTATATAGCATCGATTCACAACTTGGTATCGTGCATTCTACATGTTAATCTTTTCAGTTAAAAGCATCGGCTCATGCTCAGAATTTGAAAGAGTTTGCTGGGATTTAGCTTTGATTCTGCAAGTCTAAAATCTTTTTTCACTACTTTTATAAAGTTTCAAATTATTGTGCTACATGGCAAACAAGGCTACATTGTTGTAGGATGCCTTTAAGGACAGGTGTACTTACTACTACTACTACTACTCAGGGCCGGACTGGGACTAAAAATAGGCCCGGGCATTTTAGACTGAGCAGCCCAATCACGTGACCACCAACAGGCCCCACCCCTCACAACAGGGGGCGGAGCCAAACAAGAACGCCAAATTTAGGGATTTCTGTTGCAGGAAAAAGCAAGTTCCTGATGCAGAAATCCCTAATTGCACCCAAAATAAAGATGTGAATGCGGCCTATTACACTTCTACTCCCCCCACCCACCACACGTAAAAAAAATACAACCCCTGTACATATATATACACACGCACACACAACCCCAGTCCGTGCCCCCC